AGGACTCGAAGAACATGGAGAACCTGCCTGCCGAAACCGTCCTGGAACACGTCATGTACCTCCTGAAGAGAATCACTCTGCAGGACATCCCCCAGCCTGATTTCTTCCACAGGTAAGGCCTCTCCGTAGTTTTAGTTCTCCCTGGTGTTGGGTTGAAAAGAAAATAATGTTTGGGGAACAATGCTGAAGCTGAATTTGTCTGACGGAGAATACCTTTCATACAGAACGAGTTGGTACAATAATCCCTGGACTCGCGGAGCATATGAGACCTACATCACCCTCTGGGGCGACCACCAGGGGCTGAAAGGGCACGATCCCATCACGGTTCCTCTGAAGAACTCGCAAGGAAGACAGGTGAGATTTTTTTTTTACTGGGGCTTCTGTCACTGACTGGAAATGTGTGAATTGAAGTCAGGAAAAGTAAATTGACATAAAGAAAACAGTCCTCCAGATACTAGACCTTTTTTCACTCTAATTTACTTACAGAAAAAAGAAAGAAAAAGTCCTTCAGTTAAGTCTCTTTTTTCCACTTACATTTCTTTACAAAGAAAGGAAAACTTCCTTCAATTTCTAACGCTTAAATCCCCCCCCCCCCCCCACACACACACACGAGACAACGGAACTGAAAACAAACTAAGGACACTGAAATGACTACTCTCTTCCAGGTCTTGATGTGGGCGGGAGAACACACCCACAGCACCCGCTACGGAACAGTCGACGGGGCGTATGACACTGGCGAGCGAGAAGGATACAGACTCCTCGACATTTTCAAAGCTTGAGGGATTGTGTAAATAAATACATCCACGTGCTTTTGCAGTGTCTTAATTCCCTTTCTTCTAATAATTACACCATCAGTATCTCTGCTTTGTGTTCTTTTTTCTTTATTTTTTTTCATATATGTTAATCTTTTTTTCCGAAAGTTGTAATCCTGTTTTTGTTAATGCTATGAGGAAGCCCATTTCTTCATTTGATTGGCATGTCTTTACTTTATTCAGGAAGCTTGCACTGTCATAAGTTGTCATTGTCAGGTGTTATAGAATTGAAAAGGGGTGTCATGTTCTAGAAAATTAAAAAGGTGATGGTTACTTGCACCGGCGAGTTGTATTTATCCGTGTGTATCCTTAATTAAGAATAAAACTAAACCAGTACTTTAAACATCACAGCAGAATGAAAATCTAAGATAACTTACCTTTTTCAGCAACTGAATTAATCGAATAAGAAATGCGTTATTGCAAAATTTGTAAATAGTGCCTTTTCAATATACTCCTTCCGCAAGATTCCTCTGGTGTTTCACTGCTAACCTGGCCGATCTCTATCTCTCTCTCTTCTCTCTCTCTCTCTCTCTCTCTCTCTCTCTCTCTCTACACACACACACACACACACACACACACACACACACACTCACACACACACACACACACACACACACACACACACACACACACACACACACACATAGCATTCGATATATTTATCTTCTAGTTATCATTACGTAATGTCATATCGCTGACATTATTCTTTATACTAATGCCATGACAGAATGTGCATTTCAGTAATTCGTGGAGGTAATTGTTTTACATGTGTTAGTATAGTTTGCAAGGCTTTTTCTGTACTAATCTATAGATCACGGAGTCATCAGTAACAAGGCATTAATACATTTCTTGACATTATAATTAATTTCATTTACCTCATTACTCTTGTGCTTGTAGTATGATTTATAAAATGAACACCATGCATAGCGTCTTCATTAACCTGGGCACAAACCTGTGTATAGAATAATGAACAGTTCAGTTCAGGTCAGTCAGATGGGCCTTTTCTCTATAGTGGCCTGACCTTAATAATGAGCTACTTACCTCCATTTACTAGGCAGAGGCAATAAAATAACGAATCTCACCCAACCAAATATGTCCTAACCTAACCTGATTCATCTAACTAATCTCACCTAACCTAACTAACTTACCTAACCTAATTTAGCTATCCTAACCTAATCTAACTGAACCTAACCTAATATAATCTAACCTTACATATTATAATCAAACCTAACCTAATATAATCTAACCTAACCTAACAATATAATCTCGCCTAACTTAAACTTACCCAACCTAACTTAATCTAACCTAATCTAACTTAATCTAATCTAACCTAACTTGAAATAACCTAATATAATCTAACTTAACCTAACCTAACCTAATATAATTTAACCTAACCTAACTTAATCCAACCTAACTTAACTTAATCTAACCTAACTTAAGATAACCTAACCTAATATAATCTGTTCTAATAATATGTTCTAACCTGACCTAGCCTAAGCGAGAGCGGTATCATCTAAAATATACAAGTCCACCCTCATAATTTTGTCGTCATTTTCTGTGATATTCGAAGCTGAATTAAAGGAGGAACTGCAATAAAAACGGAGATCGACGACAGTTAAAGCAGCCGAGGTCACGCGTGCGGCAGCCGTCTCCGAGGGCAGCAAGGACGAACTTGACCTTACCTCATCTAACCTAACTTAACCTAACCTAACCTAATAACTTAACCTCACACACACACACATAAACACGCACGCACACACGTACACGCACGTACGCACGCACGCACACACACACACCACACACACACACACACACACACACACACACACACACACACACACACACACACACACACATATATATGCATACACACATATATCTGTATATATCATGTCTGTGTATATGTGTGTGCATGTGTATGACTAGATATGTATACATATATTATATATATATATATATATATATATATATATATATATATATATATATATATATATATATATATATATATGTGTGTGTGTGTGTGTGTGTGTGTGTGTGTGTGTGTGTGTGTGTGAGTGCATGTATATATATCATATATGTATGTTGTATACGTACGTATATATATATATATATATATATATATATATATATATATATATATATATATATATATATATATATATATATATATATATATATATATTGTATATATATGCATATATCTATTTATGTGTACAACACACACACACATATATGTGTGTATATATATATAGGAGGGCGCCGATGCAACAGAAGGAAGAAAATCGTCCCTTGGCGTAGAGGGGGGACTATAAAAGAAATATAAGTGATTCCTTCTGTGTATCGGTTTCCTGCACACTGAGAAGTGTCAGCACAACGCCAGCCGAGGGTGTCTGAGGGAAGGAGGAGGGAGGTCTTATTCCATCTTGAAAGGGAAGGAGGAGGGAGGGAGTTCAGGCTCACTCGGGAAGTCCGGAGGAAAGTTCATTGAAAGTGTATGATCTACGCACTCCCCTCGTTACCTCTCTCTGTGTGTGTCTCTTTCTGTCTGTCTCTCTCTCTCTCTGTGTGTCTCTCTCTCTGTCTGTCTGTCTCTCTCTTCTGTCTCTCTCTCTATCTATCTACCCATCTCTCTCTCTCTCTCTGTAAATCAATCAATCTATCTCTCCGTTTTGTAATGTATTTTTTTTTTGCCAGAAACAGGTACGTTTCATTACTCATGAACATGCATAAGCTTCTCTTGGCATGACTCTCTTGATCATGGAGTGAAAAATGCGTGATCACAGTGACAGAAAATTTGATGCTTCATCCTACCCCGTCGTTGCATAAAATATTTAATCGGAATATCTCTCTCTCCGTACTTCTGTTTCTCGCTTTTATCACTTTTCTTATTCTTTGCATTATTATTTCCAGTCCTTTCTTAATTGACATTACATTTTCCTAAAGACATAAACTGATTTTGGAATCAGATTCCTCAGATAAAAAAGTGACATGCAAAATATATCCAACGATATGCAAACTCATACAAAATATGCAACGATATGCAACACAATATACAATAATATGCAACGATAAGCAACAGAACATGCAATAATATGCAACGATAAGCAACAGAACATGCAATAATATGCCCCAGAAGAGTAATGGACACAAACCGAACGAAACCAACATAACCCGCCTTCCCACCAACTTGTATAACCAACCCCTCAACGACCATGCAACTGCCACAACGAACTCGAGGTGAGTCAGCGAGTCCTCTCCAGCGCCGTCGTGCCGTGTCAGCCTCAGTCAGTCAGTCAGTCAGTCGGGCGTCAGCTGCCAGACGACACAGCGAGAGAGCGAGTCAGAACCCCAAGGCGTCAGCGGGACAGACGGACGGAAAGAAAAAGCTGCGAGATCCTCCGAGCGGTGAGTCCGTGGCCAGTGCCTTGGGAATGTTATTGTTGTTGTTATTATTATCGTTATTGCTGTTGTTTTTGTTATCATTGTCATCATTATGATCACAATCACCGTCATCATCACCATCATTATTATTATCATTATCATCATATTCACCATCATCATCATCATTACCATCATCATCATTATCATTATTATCATTATCATCATCATTATCATATCATCATCATCATCACCACCACCACCATCATTATCATTATTATTATTACTATTATCATCATCATCATCATCATCATCATCATCATCATCATCATCATCATCATCATCATCATCATCATCATTATCATCATTCATCATCATCATTATCATCATTCATCATATCATATTATTATTATTATTATTATTATATTATTATTATTATCATCATCATCATCATCATCATCACCATTACTATCACTATTATCATCAACTATTTTTATTGCAATTATTGTTATCATTTTTATTAGTAGTGATGTTCGCAGTAGAGTAGAAATACCCTAATACAAAGTACAAAACTAAGTAAGAACTTTAATTAACAATCATTATCATCATCACCGTCATTATCATCAGTATATGCACTATCATTACAACTAATGGCAAGGTTAATAATTATAAAAATACTGATGAAAATAGTAATAACTACTGCTGGTACTATCATAACTAGTACAAGCATTATCATCTTCCTTATCATCAGCATTACTCATAATCATAACTATCATCAGCATTACTCATATCATCAGCATTACTCAT